CCTAGGACCACGCTCCCAGAAACGACGGGTTAGAAACCAAAAAAGAAGAGACTACGCCCACTACAATGCACACACTCACGCCCGATAAACAAAACCCCTAGGAGATTTCGCCCGAATCACCCGGGGGCTCGGGGGCTACACCTATGAGTGCGCTCACGTGCACCCGCTAACGAAACAAAACTTCCCCCACTGACAACATGAAACCCCCCCTAAACGAGTCTACCCGAATCGCCCGGGGGCTCGGGGGCTCCTATCGGGTTCATAAACCTGGGGTCCCTCATGGACCGGCTTCCCAACAAAGGCTCGGCCCAGCAGACAACGTTGCGAACGATGCGCAACTCCTGGGCCGGCCCAAATACCTAAACAAAAGGCCAGAAGGGTGATCCAATCTCCAACTAGAAGACCTAGCCGAGGAGGAACCACGCCCGCTTCCGACTCTGGCCCGCCTCTCCGATCGGAAGGCCTTGCTAAAAAGGAACAGTGCTCGCTTCCGACTCCGGCCCGCCTCCGGACGGCCTCTCCGACTGGAAGGCCTGGCCAAACACCACTTCCGACTCTGACCCGCGTCTCCGACCGGGGATGCGCCGAACCCCTGCTTACAACTCTTCTCCAACTGGCACAGTCGGAGCCGACTAGGACCAACCGACCGAGGACACCCGCTCGGTGAGGACCTGGAAACGGACGGAGCAAGTAAGGCAGGGCACTCAAGTCAACCGTAACACCAAGGACCGTACCCTGTACACCTGCAGAACAGTACCCTGCAACCTTTCTGGCATGTCAGAACCCAAGCAGTGTTGTGGGCGCTGACATTTTCCTACAGTGTTGTGGGCGCCATCAACTCCCATACCAGACAAACACGGTAAGGCTCCCCCATATGCCTCTATGCATCAACAGTGTTGCGGGCGCCGGCATTTACCATACTAGGCAAACATGGTAAAACCCCTTACATGCCTCTGGGCATCAACAGTATGGTAGGCACCGACGTCTGCCATACTAGGAGAAGACGACACAACCTCCCACATGCATCTGACATTAACAGTGTTATGGATGCCTACAATCATCTTGTACCCAACAACGTGGGCAACAAGACTTAGCATACGTACACTCTCCCTCTCTCACTTGTAAGGCCATCCCCTTCATCTATAAAAGGGGATGGGCTCTCTCCCAAAAGGGAAGATCCATCAGTTCACTTACATCAATTCAACACACAACAACAGAACCACCAGGTTCAAACCTCGAGCATAGGCTCGAACACTTAGCACATAGCGGAGCTCCCGTCACTCTCGGCCCTTCAGACCAGAGTTCGACCGGACTCCTTGCACCCCCCATCTTTCTCCCTTTCATTTGTAACCCCACAACAAACTTCGAGCACCTAGGCTCAGGAATAAAGTCACCGACCGACTCAAACTGGACGTAGGGCACGTTGCCTGAACCAGTATAAACCCTGTGACATTGAGTGTTAGGCCACATCCGATCACAACGTACGGCAAAACTACAAATGTTTACGTATTGGTCACTTTTCTGCACCGACAATATGAGTATGGTTCAATTTGTATAGGTATCCTACTTATAGTGTAGTTCAACTTCACTGTTGTTCATCATGTGTAATTTATAGGTTTCATTTATGTAAATTTTTTTTGGCAGCTCCCACGGATTTTCAGAGATTATGTTGTTTGTTTTGTCTTGTCGATGTTTTTTATGTAGCTCTACCACTAGGTTGTTCCATGTGCACGGCGATGACTACGACTAGCCGAGTAGGAGGTTGGTTGCCTGGTTCTGGGTTTGCTCTTTTGTTTTGCTTGATCTGCCACTTTTTTCTGCTATGATTATGCTTATTAGGTCAGGTCCATGTAGTACTTAGTTTTTTATTAGGTTCTCCTTGTTTGTATAGATTTCCTAGTTATAGTGTAGTTCAACTTCACTTACGGTTGTACTTCATGTGTAATTTTTAGGTATTATTTATGTAAGTAGTATTCAGTGTTACCGTTTTTCTTGTTCTGTTTGTTTCAGGCCTTTCCCACATGTGTACTATTTATATTGTATATTTTTCTTGTTATATTGTATATTTGTGTAATTTTTTTGTTTTATCTCATATGTCTAACAGTCTTACTCGCGATTTTGCCAAGTACACTTATGTGGATAGGCCTGTGTCTAAGTATGTTTTTGAGATGCTTGATCTTCAAGTTGGTGAGCAGACTCGATTGATTGCTGCTAAGAGGACGTGTGGCTGGGTATCTGAAGATAAAGTCGTGTGTACTGCTCATGCTTGGAAGCAGCGTCGTGCTTTTGGTTTTGTCAAAAATTTCAGATTATGCTATGATTCTGGCATTCTGCTGATAAGACTGTCTATTGCCTTGCTCAGCAGGATGGCATTTCTGATTGTTAGTGTGCTTATATTACTCGAGTTGGTGAAGATAATGTTACATTTTTTAAAGTCAATAGTATTGTGGTGAGGAAGAATTCTATTAGAGAATATCTTGATATGGACATTCGCATTAAGGTATGTTTCTTATTCTTTTGATTCTAATAGTTTTCTATTTTTCCCTTTTTGTCTCTGTTTTTGTTTAATAGTCTTTGATGATTCCAGCAGTTTTTTAGATGTGCAAGTAGGTTTATTATAGATTTTTTTATTTGTATCTATAATAGTTTGCAGAAATGGTTGTTGGTGTCGTAGTTCTTAGGTAAATTTCTTTAGATCGTAATTTCCTTAATTTACTTGTACAGGTTAATCGTTCTGCTGGTACTCTCGACAATGAAGTTGTCTCATTGTTTTTGTTTGAGCATTTCAATTTAGAGCCTGGTGTCCAATCAAGGGTTCTTGCTGTGAAGGATTTGAAGATTGAAGACAAGGTGAAGCTTGTTGCTAGGGTTATTCGACATAACGGTGGTCCTTCAATTTGTGCCGAAGTGCAAGTTTGCCTTGGATGTAGTCAATGGTACTATTTATGTGCTGGTGGAAAATGCTGAAGCTGCAGAACTGATGACTGGCCGTTGCTTCCGTGTGGATGAAGAGCATATTACTTTCTTTCGTGTGCTTAAGATGGAAGAGAGGTGAATCTCATGATTTCTATCAGTCTGCTAGTTGCAGCAAGATTTGGCCTTTTTCATCTGTGCCTGGTCAGTAATATTTTGAGCTCTCTGTGGCGTGCATTTATGGCTGTCGAAGGTTGTAGAATGATTTGGTTCTACCTAGTTGTTGAAACTGTTATTTAGTTGTTTAATTAAGACTTGTTATAATCTGTTTAACCTTATTATCTTGTAGTTTATTATGCTACTTATGGATGCTGGTTATTTTTAATTAAGTCTTGTGTAAACTCGTTATATTCCTGGTCAGTTTATCGTCCACTGTATTTGCATATTACTGTGCACTTTGAGCCTTCACTTTTGCAAGTCTGCAGATTATATATTTGCCTGCTTAATGTGTTTTTGTAGTGATTCAATCCATTTACAGTTTATTTGTCTTTGTAATTATTGTCTCCTTTTATAATTATTACATTGATTTGTTCACTGTAAATTTATTTTTAGTGTAGTGTAAACTTATTTGGTAGATTTTTCTGTTGTTTGTACTGGTTCATCTGGATATTTGTTATAGTTGTTTTAGTTAGCTTAGTCAGATGTCATAGTTGATTTTAATAGTTGGTGTCTGTAATAAATCGAGGTCTCTAATAAATTATGACCTGGATTTGTGGATACAATGTCTTTGTCGCTTGCAAGTATCAGTTGTTCAAGTACCAGCTGGTTGTGTATGCCCTCATGTTGCATTGCTGAGTGCATGTTTCCTTGTTGGGGCATAGTAGCTTTTGAACAACAAGGTGTTGTTTATGTGTGTGTGACTGCTTGGCCCTATAGTTTCTTCTTTGAGTAACGGAAACTTATATAGGTATCCTAGTTATAGTATAGTTTAACTTCACTTACAGTTGTTCGTAATATGTAATTTATAGGTTTCATTTATGTAAGTAGTACTCAGTGCTAGAATTTTATTGTTATGTTTGTTTCAGGCAGCTCCCACAGTTTTTTTGAGATTTTGTTCTTTTGTCTATTTGGTCAATGCTGTATTCCTAGAATTTTTGTGATTTTACCTTTCATAGAAAATTTCTGGCTTTTGTTTTATGAATTTCTATTGTTTGGTATGTTTGCTTAAGGGTAGTTTCCCATAATTTTTGTGATTTTGCCTTTCATAGAAAATTTCTGGTTTTTTCTTTTGGAAATTTGAAATTTTGTTTTTTGGTTTTTATGGTCAAGGCCCTTTTCCTAGTTTTTTTGTGATTTTTGCAATTCATAGAAAATTTATGTTTTTTATTTTTTTGTTCATTTGCTATGTAGTGTTCATTTGCGTGAAGGTGGATGATGTGTGTTTGGATAATCCGTGTGAAATAAAGGTATGTTTCACTCGAATTTTTTATTTAGTTATTTGTGTGATTTGTCCTATTAGGATTACTCGTGTGAGCAAAGGGCATCAATCACACAAATTTTGCTTTTCGTTTCTTTTGTGTGATTTGTCCGATCAAATTGCTTGAGTGTTGGAATGGGTCAAATCACCTAAGTTCTAAATAGACAGATCCGAGGGAAAAGTGATGCTCACGTTGATACTATCTGCACACCGGAAGCAAGTAATCACCACATCATCATGACATTAACAGTACTCATAAGTCATAACTCGCTCACATATTGCCTCTCCATCTCCGAAACAATCAATGAATCACACGGAATGACATAACCAATGCAATCTGACGCGTGTACAATCAACGAGATACAACTAAAATCAACCAGCAGCCCCCAACACAATGGCGTACGTAATTAACACACACACATACACGAACAGATACACATACGTACGTACTGACTCCCCATCATCTTGGAATAAACCCACAACGACAAAGCGATCGACGAAGCCACACGCTGTCCCGTGAAACCGATGCACGCCCACTCAATTCGATCGACACAGAACCGATAAATCTTCAGTCTTCAGTCTCTGCCTCCAGCCATAATATATGATGATTTTATCTCAAGCCTCCGTGTATGGCGAGCAGGTAGAAGAGCTGCGTCGCTGACAGGATGATGGTGAAGGACTCCATGCATATCTGCACAAGAGATCACCAATTCAAGGCCATAGTTAACTCATCACAGTTAATTAATTAAGCCGGTCTACATGTCAATCTCTTGCAGATTTATCTCAGTACAGATATGCTAGTAATCAATCAAATAGTGTAATTGGCTACTGATCTTACCAGTCTGGCATTCCTTCCGTGCAGTTCAATCTCCTTCACCGCCAATCTGAAACCAGCAACCAAATTGCCCAGACAGGGGAAACGAGTCAGGAAATCGATCACCAACACAGCAGCATACACAGAACTCGATTGGATAGTGCTGCTAGCTAGCGCGTCTGCCGCGACCGATTCGCGTGCAGTATAAGTAAATACGTACCCCATGGCGAGCAGGGTGAGCATCCAGGCAACGAAGCCGGCGGAGGCCGCCGCGGGCAGGCTCTCGGCGCTCCAGGCGCGGACGTGGTGGAACCCCGCTAGCGCCGAGGCCGCGCCGACGACCCCGGCGATCACGGCGAAGATGACGAAGAACCCGGTCGCCGCGTTCCCGATGGGGAAGTAGATCGGGGAGAAGTGAGCCGGGAGCTCCAGGCCGGTGCCTGCATGCATCAGTCAAAGAATTACCAGTCAGCTGATGAACGAGGCATTTCAACGTCGTCGACATGAACAGCCATACAGAGCAAGATTGCAAGAATACAGTGTTATTGTTACCGATGAAGAAGCCGTAGTTGATGGCGTGGTTGATGGCCCAGCCGCCCACCGCCGCCACGATGACGTACATGCAGAAGTTGAGCACCAGGAGGAGCCCGGCCACCGGCTTCATGCCCGCGCTCGCCATGGATGATCCTGCTGATCGTCGATGGCCAAAACGAGCTCGATTGAAAACGGATTGAGCTCGATCGCACTCCTAGCTAGCTAGCTCACTCTACGCCTCTACGTACTGTTTCTGCTGGCTTTAGGTATCATTTGCAGGGTGCACCCCGTATATATACACGCACGAGCTAGCAGAGCACCGCCGGTGGAGAACGATGCAAATGCACATACTAATCCTTTGGAAGGAATAGGGTAGCTACCTGGCCTAGCTTTGTTCTTTGCTTCCGTTGGCCGCATGAACAGCCGGCCTGCCGCCGCGCTTGGATTGTGCGAGGCTTAGCTTATTACGTGAGATCTGTGGCAAACGTGATGCTCAAGGTAGGAAGCTAGCGCTAACCCCGCGGTTGGGGCTTTCAGTTTCAGCTTATCTATCGGTCGTCAGCGATCCTCTTCCTCTGTTGGTCCGGAAGCTTGGAACTCCGGATGGCTCCGATGTGCTGGACAGGTACAGCCTTTTCCTGCGAGTCCGAGACATGCATCGATCCTTTGATCCGTTCGGTGCAGGGCATCAGGGGCTTTATTTATTCCTTTACAGCAAGAAGAAGAACTCACTAACTTTGGCCATGGAATCCGTGAATGTTTGGGAGACGTTGGGACGCACGTCTAGGAGATGCCAAGCGCTATTAGCGGAACGATGAAGATGTTGTGGTCTCTGTCGTCGTCACTCGTCAGAGATCACAAAATCGACGGTCAGATTGGATGACAGATATACAAAGCCTCTTATTATGAACAAGAACGGCAGCAAATCCTGGCGGTGAAGATAGGAATGCCGTAGCTGGCGGCGTGAAAACTGAAAAGCATTGTTCGATGTTCGTGGATTATTACTGCTGGTTGGTTTGTTGTGAGAAAAAAATACTATTCTAACTTATAATCCACGATCGTTTACGAATCTCTTATGCTTCTGCCAACTGCCACTTATTAATAAACGCTAATATATCTCCTGTATGTACAACTAAAAACAACCGAATGATGCCACGATCCTTCGGGTCGTCGCTCTGCCTTCACCGTGCGATACCGCGAGTCCCCGCGACGACATGTGGACCCTGCCTGCGTAGGATGTGCGCGCAGCTCCCCGCAACCGCCCCATCCCGCATCCTCTCTCTTCTTCCAGGGTTTGGGTTTGGCCACCGCCATGGCGAGCCGCCCGCCCTACCCCACAGCCGCAGCCCATGACCGTCGCCGCCACCGGACCACCACGCCTCCTCCTTGCCCTTCCCGGCTGCCTCCCCATTCTCCCTGCTGACGCCGGCGGCCTGCCCCTGCCTCATCATGCTCACGCCGCCGCCCTCCGCCATCCCGCATCCCGCTGCCTCGCGCCGCCGCCGCCGCACGCCAGGTGCTCAGGTCTTCGTCGGAGACGAGCACCCAACAGGTATGCCCACCCTTCTCTTCCCTTCGTGCTATGCGAAACCGAGCACCCGAACCCTGGCTTTATTTGTATTCAGATCTGATCTAATTACAAGTGTATACATGTATCCCATTCAAAGATATCAGAGGTACATGTGCACGCCCAATGTCCTTTACTGGATCTGCACCTGCGATTCTGTGTGCTTTGATCTGCTTTCCTCTTAATGTTCTAGCCCTTGTGCTCCTCATCCTCCCTACATTGGTGTGCTTTGCAGAGCAGTTATTTGTATCTATCTAAACGTAAATATGTATACCCATATAAATATATGTACTCTTAGTCATCCGAGTAAATATCAAGGCCCTGTGCCCTTCTGATTTCAAACGCCTTAACAGAATAGCAAGTTCCTGCAACTTCCCACAATCAAACTGGACCAAGCAGCAGGAATTACGAATATAAATGATTCCTTCAGTCCATCGGATGGACACCTCTGATCGAGCTCAAGCGAATCACCGGCTAGGAAGGGGTACAAGGCATACCGTCTCTCTGCTTTGTCAAGGATTGCAGCGCTTTGAGGCCTGACATTTTTTTTCTCTTCATTTTTTCCCAGCTGGATAGATATTGGTTTTGTTAACCTCTCAAGATAACCTCTAAAAATCGAGTTGATGCATCCATTGGCAAAGGTAGACTTTCTAATGCTTATTTATCTTTTTTACACAGAGATCATTGAAAAGGTGGTACTAACACTGGTTAGTAAAAATGTTGTTAACAATTTTCAATAAAAAACAGGAGAAAAAGTTATGGCGGGCCGAAAGTGCAATGGTGCAATATCAATCAACCAAGGTGCAAGGTGCAGACTAAGATACTGCCATGCAGTGTTGCTCCTCTGTGAGGCTCAAGGATTTTATGTGCTTGCAGCCATGATTTGTTAAAATAGAAGCTCTTCAAAGCCCAGAGACTTAATCTCTTGCTTTGTTCTCATTGTTGACATTTTAGAATTCAGAAAAATGGAACCCACCAGATAGGGACATGCGTAAACCAAAGTGCCCAGTCTAATTCAGGCGATCAAGGCTACAAATGAAGACTACAGGCGATGAACCCATCTTCAAATCAAGGCTGACATTATCAATCAACCAACTTCCAATGAAGACTACAGGCGATGAACCCATGGGTATTTTTCTCAACGAATATCTGAATTTCACAATTGCTATTTAAATTGATTTGCAAACTTCCAGGTGGCTTTTATTTCCCCGTGTCATTGTGATCATGCATTTGTCATTTGCACATCATATTTTTGCCCAATGCTATAGGACACTGCGTGCCATGCCCGTTTGAGGCTTACAGTGTGCCAAATGAACTGAAAATTATGGCAGTTTTGATATGATTGATCTTGCCACACATTTAAGATGCAAATGGTTGCCACTCTACAGTTAGTTTACCCTGGAGCCTATTTGTAATCACAGTTAACTTTTTGTTGCCAAATCAAAGAAAGAAAAACATATTGGCTCAGAAAAGGATACATATTTTTTTTGTTTGCCAAATTGAGTGATGTCGTTCATAAAGAAAAGAGCTTAGATAATTGCTGCATCAAACACATGGTTGGTGCTAAGAGAGTGGAAGGTATAAGAAAATTACATTAGGCTGATAAGAGGATCTTGATTAAACACCACGGTAAACAAAAAACACATTAGAGTTTATAATTAAGAATCTCAGTCAAAGCTAAAAAGAACTTGAGGCATTGGATATATTTTGGTAAGAAATGAGGCACTGACAGATTTACAATATTCAGTGTTTCATGATGACCGTATTTGCTAAATTAATGGCTTTTAATGGCTTGTTGCTCCCGGTAGATGGGTCAGTAGTTTCAGTCCCCTGCTAAGAAATTAGATGCGTTGGCAGTTAAACAACAAAATGCTGGATGGTCCATTCCTGTGGGCCTTGAAGCAAACAATTCGAAATCAACAATTCATTGCAAGTAAGCTGTAAGTGAAAGGTTTTGTATTGTCTGCTGAAACTTGGTTCATCAGTTAATTTCCAAGGTGGTTCTCTGTATACACAGTATCTTTTGGAGAATTCAGACAAGTACTACCACTTTGTTTCAAGGAATGGTCTTTCACCATGTTGTATGCTTCAGCTTTAGATGAACTGATGTGACTATAGTTTTTCCATGTCGCATATTGTTTGCCTATAGACAGACACTTTAAATTTAAACTTATATAAAATTTCCACTTGCCCGTCCTCTCCCGGCCAGCTTGGCTGCCCTCATCTGACAAGTCGCTTGGTTGCCGTGGCGTGCAGCCTGTCTGCTATAAGAAAGTGCAGCTGAATTTTTCCCATCACTATTTTTTCTATGGCCTCTGTGTGCAGGCAACACACTTGTCAAATACAGTATATGCTTTTATCAATTGGATTTTATGATTTTCACACAACAAACTAATTAATTGTCTCTCAAGGCAGAGGAAGAAGAAGAAGAAGCCAGGAAGGAGGTTGCAAGACTTGCTTTTGATCCTGAGACACGGTAGAGCAAGTTAGATGAGCTGATTAGGAAGACGACTCCTTTTGGAGTTTCTAATTGAGAAGATGGATCGTATTGCTCAAGTATGAAATTCCCACTGTGTGTTGAACCCATTTTATTGCTTCTTTTAATTTGCTGACGATGATGGTGTTGTCTGGTTGTTCCAGGAAAGTATCGAAACTCGAGTTGAATAACCACAGGTAGAAGAGAAGGTCGTGGCCGGAAGAGGAAAGCAAAGCTACAGTACAATAATGTGAGTGTGGGCTTCATACATTGTTCTTCGTCTTTTGTATGTAGTTTGTCGTTTGTGTTGCTGCAGTTTTGGATCATCAGGTTTTACCATATCTGCCCTACTAGCCTTATGTAGGTGAGAAATTTTACGGTGCTTGGAAAAAATAACAACCATTCATTCGGCGAGATCTAATGGTTACAAAATAAGGAAAACCTATTAGGAGGAACTTAAGTTGTGGGCCGGAACCAAAAAAAATAGTGGACCCGAAATTAATTAACAAATTATTTTAAAGGTTATAATTGTACTTTCATGGCTCACGGATTATTCGATTTGGCCCGACCCCAATGTAAATGCAGAGCTGCCTGTGAATTTGCTCCCGATGGAATCGATGTATTCTCGGTGGCGACGGCGGCCGGCCGTCTCTCTCCCTGGCTCCCTGCTGGTGCTCTCCTTGTTTTTTCCACAATCACGAACGCCCCACTGTCTCCTCCAATCCCAAGTTCCCAACCAGATTTCCCTTCCGTCCTCCGATCCTGCTAGCTGGCAGCAGCAGGATTGCATCCCCCAGATGACAAGTTTTGTTAGTCTTCCTTCCATATGCTTTCACCTTTTCTTTGCTGCCTGTGCTGGTGTTGGACACAAGAGCACCTGGGCGATCATGGAGGTGCTGCTCTTGTAGCAGACAGCAGTTTGGTGTTATCGTGCAGGAGCAGAGGCCATGGCTACTCTCCGGAATGGGAACAATGGAATTGGAAATAGGAAATCGCTGCTGCTCCTCCCGATAGCGGCGAGACCCTGCAGCAGGGCGTGCGAAATCACCTGCAAGGCTGCAAGCGGGCGGCGGCAGACCCTCACAGGCAGGCAACGGCGAGT